GTGAAAAATAATTTTTCAGTTTTAGATTGAGTTTTAATATATTTTTTAGTCTTAGTCAATTTGCATATTGATTTAGATATTTTGTGCCGATTTAAATTTCATATTATTAGAAACAAAATATATAAACATATTTTTTATATATTTATTTTTTACAAATTTAATCAATTAATAAATATCAATTTAATCATATAATTGAATCATATTATGGGGTAACACTGTTCATAAAACACTAAATATTTGGTATTTTGGAGTTCCATTGGAGTTGTCCTTATAAAGAAAAGGCATGGTGAATTCATAGGGCATGTGTTTAAATAGTTACCTATATAGATACTATATAACAAAAGAAGATAAAGACATTGTTGTACAACTTGAGAGATGAGGCGTTACTTTACAAAAGAATCCATTTTCATATTTCGTTACTAAAGGATGCACGTCTTAGCTTTAAATCTCAGATATAATTAAAGACTGAACCTAATTACAAAGATATAGCTAGGTTTTTTTTTTCTTTTTGATAGAAGAAGATATAGCTACATTACATTAATTCTAATTTCTAATAGTATATGTCTGTTTGATCATCAGCATGCAGAAGATGATCGAGCGTTACCGTAAGTACACAAAAGATTACGAAACCAGCAATCACGACTCAGAAATTTACATACAGGTTTGTTACCAAACTTAACCTCTCTTTTTTGTTTTTTGTCTTGATTGTTTTTAGTTTTTACCCTTTTTTCCTTGTTTATAATATATCAGATATATAAGTTACATAAAATCTTTTGGCTTATGTCCTAGATTTACATGATGTGGATTCTTTAAGTTTCTATAACATACAAAACCAAATATTCAGAGATCTACCATATAAAACATAACAAATGATGAAAGGTTAATTTAGATGATTTATGTTCAATCGTCTATATATAGGATCAAGGTTCAGACAGATTATTCATTTTTTTATATAACATGCATTTTACCGAATTTGAATTTGAATTATGACACTAATATAATAAGTCGTTAATCAAAATTTATTTTCCATGTATACAAAGTAGGTAGATTACATAGACTTTATTTCATTTTCTTTTTCCGATGATTTTATTTTGTGGGGTAATGTAGCAATTGAAGCAAGAAGCAAATCACATGATCTCAAAGATTGAACTCCTTGAGTTCCAAAAGCGGTATCATGCCTTATAGCCTTTCTTTTTCTTTTTCGTTGCCACTTCTTAGATTAATATTTCAATTTTTTGTTTGCGTTTGCGTTTGACTATTTTAGACACTATTCACATAAAACCAACGAAAAAGCTATTTTGGATATTTTACAAAAGGAGTCACGAATTCCCTTTTGCGTCTGTATATAGGAAGTTATTGGGACAAGGACTTCCTTCTTCTTCTCTAGAAGAGCTTCAAGAAATAGATAGTTTACTCCAAAGAAGTTTGGGTAAAGTCCGAGCAAGAAAGGTATATAGTTCATCAATATCGTGGTACATATGAATGATGATGATGATATAATGCAAATATACAGACATGTTGAAATGAGTATTTTCCTCGTTTAGATATGAATTTAAACATGGATTTTTGCAGCGATATTTAGCAAGTCTAGCGGCAAATCTCAACTGATATACGAACTAACATTGATCAAG